GAAAAGTCTGGATGAAGTCAGTGAAATGAACAGTGAGTGTGGAGGTACCAGGGTCTCTCGTGCCCAAGCACCGCGTGGAGGCTGAGGCCTGGGCCACCCGGCGGGAAGAGCAGTGCCCTGGCTCCTGTTGAGGCTGAGCCAGAGGCGGCAGGAGGCCCCCGGGGCTGCGTGAGCAGGGGCCACGCCTGGGGGCCAGGCCAGCCTGAGAGGGTGGGGGCCGAGGCGGGCTGTCAGTTCCTGGGTCTGCCCTTCCTCTGTCTGCTAACTGAAGGGCGCCCAGGAGGCCTCAGGCCTTGAAGAAGCAGACCTCCATGAAGGTTTCCAGCGCCCAGCGACCTAGTCACCACCAGGTGCTAGAGTTCACGCAGTCCAGGATCCACCTTGGACGTGCTCACCCCCAGGAGGAGGACAGAACCTTCTGGGAGACCACGGGGCTCACCCCCTTCCCTCCTTCCAAGACATGGAACTGATGAAAGAGACACATCAAAGTTACTCCTTCATACCAATCAGTGCTCTGCCCCCAGACAGTGAGATTCCCGTCGCTCCGTATAAACCTTATGAATAAACTGAAAAGGGCACTGAGGGAAGAGTGAATGCCCTTGTTCCTGCACAGAGAAGCCTCCCCTCAAGCTGCTGGGAACACCCCCTTGTTTCTTAGGACCCCAGACCCGCTCTCCAGTGCCGATCAGCCCACCTGCAGCCTGCGCAGAGCGGGGCACGCCTTCTCTCTCAGAAGAGGAGCGCCAAGCTTCCACCTTTTACAAGACGGTGGTGAGAGACGTTTGATTCTCATGATTTAGTGAAAATGAGGGGAAAGAACTAAGGCAGCCTGCAGTTAGGGAAGAAGCACGGTCTCCAGGGAAACCACCGCGTGGGGCGCTGTGGGGTAGAGAGAAGCAGAAGGTGAATTTCAAGGGCTGTGTGGACCGCGGCAGTGCGCAGAGGCAGGAAGCACCTTGGCTCCTGTCCTGGAGGGTGCTGATCAATGACTGTGCTGGTTTGCTTAAAATCCTCATTGAGCGGCAGCTGGCTTAGAGCCTGACTTGTAACCACAGCAGAGGGTGTGGATTCCCCTGAAGATCTACCCCACCACAAGGTTCCCTGCCTTCACACCCAGCTTTAAGGAATCCCAACACAATGGTGCACAACAGTTCTGCAAGGCCCCAGGGGTGTGGAAGAGGGGGGAGGAGGCCTGGGAGCCTCTCCTGTCCAAGGAGAGGGCATGGTGCCGGCAAGCAGAAGGGAGGAGAGATGAAGGACGGCCTGACCTCAGGGCTCCAGGCTCCAGCATGGGAGGAGAGTGGGCTCCCTCAGAAGTAGGGTGGAGAGGGGGCTGGGGGAAAGGGGGCTGGGGGAAAGGAGGCCGGCACCCTGGCTCACCACCCCGGCTCACCAGGGGTTTCTGGAGGGACGGCAGAGCCCACTGGTAAGAGGTCAGGTGGAGGGGCAGACGTGGGCAACGGCTGCCAAACAGCACAATGGAGGTGTTGGGTCCAGGCAGCCCCCCTGGGTCCAGTCTGAGCCTTGCCTGGGGGCTTGGCCCTGGGTCTGTCCTTGGGCCTTGCCTGGGAGCTTGGCCACGGGGTCTGTCCTTGGACCTTGCCTGGGGGCTTGGCCCTGGGTCTGTCCTTGGGCCTTGCCTGGGGGCTTGGCCATGGGTCTGTCCTTGGACCTTGCCTGGGGGCTTGGCCATGGGTCTGTCCTTGGGCCTTGATTGGGGGCTTGGCTCTGGGTCTGTCCTTGGGC